GTTACTTGAATCAAAACCTTGGATCAGTACTATATTATCTATATAATTTTTTAAATAAAATAAGTTATTGTCGAGTTCTTGAAAAATATGGTTATATTTCCTGCACCTGTCAAACAGTGTTAACTCTCCCAAGGTTTTATAGAGCAACTACTTTGACAGCATATTACAAAATCATTACTACGCCACCTATTGTAAGGCCAAACCCACGATACTGAACTATTTCTTTACTATAACACATTCAGTGATACAGTTTCTGAATAAATAGCTCTCATTTTGGGCGCTACCAATTTCCTAAAAAAAATTTTATACAAAATAGTAGAATAAATTTTTGACATTTTTGAGATACTCATATTAATAGTGAATTCTTTATGTATAATAAATGCTGAAAACCAGTGTTTTTATTTTTCTAAGTTAATTTCTAAGACGATATTCCTAAGGAATTAAGCAGTACCTTACACAGTGTTTGCTGGCTATCTCTACAGATCTCTTAAAAACTGTTGGATATTTTTAATAATTTTTAAAACTGTTTATTGGTATTTTATTTACTTAATTACAAGAAAAAAATGTCAGCACGCTTTAATCAATTTGCACCTTTAAGCGTTTTAATGAATTAATGTTTTATTATTGCAATAAAATAGAAAATAAAAAATTGTTTAAAATAATATAACGGCTAAATTAATGAGTTAATTGGTCTTTTCAACTATAAACATAAACAATTTATTTTTTATTTATAGACATTTGTTTCCATATTTCATCTTATGATTTCGTAAAATTTCATTTGGTTATAATTAATATTTTTAATTAAGTTTTTAGCGACAACATTTCAGAAATGCCTAACCTGCCCAATGCAAAATAACATAATAAATATCAAGTATATTAACAATAAATAAGTAAAAATTTATATCTTGTTCTTGTAATCAATGTGAAATTTTTTGAGAATACAGACGTAGAGAAAATCGCAAATCATTACCAGTAATTATAAGAACCCCGGTAAATCGTTAAACGCCTCATTGAGCCTCATTCTTTGCTTTTATCCATCGTTGCTGCCAATCAATTGTTGGACATTTGTTGGACTCTTTCATATTATTTCATTTTTCTTCCTCGCGATCTTTTCGAACTTATTGTACTTAGGAACGCGGTTTTAATATTATATTAAGTACATTGTCCGCAACCCCTGGGAGTACTTTTTCTTCCTATCCTAATCTCCAGCTCGTCATTGAATAGTAGATAAAATGATAGATTCTTTATTTAATTTAGTTGTTACATACTACATTGATCTAAAAATCCCTAATAAGACTTTGAGAACAGAGACATGGTTTTTAAGGACAATGTCCACATATTTCATCTGCATGAGAAAGAACTGAAACTGATTTTAAGAGGTGCTTAAAAACTCTTTGTTTAAGCAGTAATACATAGGTTGAACAGATAACATTCTAGTTTTATTCATTATTTTTTTCCCTCGCTGTCGTTATTGATTCGTTTTTATTATGCAAAAATGTAACTTAACTATCTGGAACTTGTTGTTTCCCATTGAAACCAATTGCAGTATGTGTTGTTTTATCTTAAATTGTAAGTATCTTTCTCTTTGTTCTTGATGTACGGATCATAACACTATCTTCAGCGTTTACAAATAGTTGCAATGACTCTGAATATTATATATAAACTATATTGTATAATATATAAAATTAATTTACACAGTTCTTATGAGAAAGTAGCGAGAAAAAATGTTGTGTGCTGAGAGTGGAACTAAACATTCGCACTACGCTGGAGTCTACGCCTTTAAAAGAGTTGAATACGTGTGAATCAGCTAATGCAGAGAGAAGATTCCACCAATAACGATATGACTTTGTTGTAAGATGTGACATCTAATAGTTAATTAAAAGATAGTAGTTCATTTGTATGGCATATATATGATATAGTTAACCAATTTCATTCATTTTTTTAAGTTATTGGCTATGATTCAAAGAAATTTGGTCTCCCAACAGCTGAGATATTAGTTTACATTTTAACAAATAGAAAAACGGTCATTCACACCTCTCCCATATTTTCATTATCATTTCATAGAAATTCTAATATCGTTAGTATACACTTAATTCACAATATATGAATGATTCGATTTGTGTATTTGAAACTTTATTAATTGAATATGCGTACATACTTATATGATATATGCTTTTACTATATACTTTTTTATTTATTATTATTATTTTGCCATTTCAAGAACAGCCAAAGAGATATTAAATTTGCTTATTTAATATTTGGAACTTAATGGGGAATGAAGTTTCACACTGTGACCTGTAGGTGGGATTTGATAAGAAACATAACTAAAGTTCTGTTATAAATATAGTAAAAATTGATTTGCTGAATATATTTTTCTATTTTTTAGAAAAGTTATAATTTTTAAATTATATGATAATAAGTAAGTCAGCGTTTTCGATTGGTAAATCTGGATTTAATTTAGATTTACTCTCGATCTGTCAAAATTTGTTGTCCAAACATTTTTAGAGTAATGTATAATTTTTAGAGTAATCTAACATTATTTTAATCGTGTTAGTAGACATTTATATTTTTCACAAATACATATATTTTATATATATTTTTGTTTGTTAATCATATTAAATAACCGGTGATTTCATGGTAATCTTGAGTGTTATACGTTTCGTCCAAGATATATGAATGGAAAATAGAAAATGAAAATTGCACTAAAAGTGCATTAAAAAAGCATTTGAATTGAAAAAATTACCCCAGATTTACCAATCAAAAGCTCTATAAATATCAAAATTATGTTTTTTTTATTTTGTGTTTAGAATCCGTTTGTAATTTTTGTAATTTTTTGTTAACACATTAAATGGTCATCATTTAAAGTAAAGGACTTTGAGGATTGTCGATTACTATCCATTATCCAACCCAAATAGTTTCTGATATAAAGCAAAGAATTTATAAGTTGTTTTTAAAAACCGATCCACGGATATGGGCACAAGAATTTGGGTTACGGCGGGAACACAAATGTATAACAGGATTTCGTTCTATAAAACGTCTTACACAAGAATATATATTTTGTACAAATTTTGAAGTTATGATCTATTTCTATTTACTTCAGATATCATCAACACAAATGTCTAATATTCACTTTTTCTTAAGTGCCACGTTTTGTTTATGTGAATTGGCCAACAAGACAACTCGATTAGTCACCACTGAAATTTTTTTTTGACAATTTTTGAAACTCCAAAGCTTTGAAAAGGAACACATTTCAAGTTATGGCTGTTCTATTATTAGTTATGTATCGAGAAGTTATCAAAAATTGTAACAAAGTATCCAGTATTGCAAGATGTCCTATAAAGAAAGTTTCCAACAGTATATTACAATAAAATTTGATCATCAATTCAATCACAAGTGCTTTTTGAACGTTAACTTTTCAAGCTAAAAAATAGATAATCCTGCTTTATTCATTTATAGGGTGTTGGATTATGAATTCTCCAATTTTAATAACTTTTGTTCCAATGTTAAGTAAAATAAAAGAGAATTCGAAGAGTTCATATGTATGATTTAGGTTATAGTTAGCTTTAATCTGTCAACTTTTAATAACTATTTCATCTATGAAATTTGTTGATTATAGTTTAACTTTATGAGATTAAATTGTTTTGTGTTTCATTGATTAAGACTAGTTCTCCATATCTGATTACTTAATCAAGGATGTATTTTTGAAAAAGCAAATATACAATCTATTGTAAGCAAATATTTTTGAAATATTTTATTCATAAAACAGAATATAAAATATGAAAAGTAATTAAATCAGAGTTTTTTTAAGGAACGCAAAGTGTGGACATTTAAAGGACAGTAGCCATTAAACAGGTTCATAGGAAAGTACTTCCTTAACAGTCTGTCGGAGTATTCATGGTTAAAAGAAAAAAAAGATCTGTTAAATTACATAAACTGAACAGTTTAGATTTAGGTTTGACTATCTTAAATTTTTTTCGATAAGTACGAAAGTTATTTCAAATAAATATCTCAGTTATGAACAAATAAGAAAACTATTGATTGTGTTATGAATGTGTGGCTTGCCACACAATTTTCTAATAATTATATTCAAGCAGTCCAAAATAAAGCTTCGAAAAGATAAGTCAAAGCCATGTTATACTTCAAACTTTTGATAAAATATATGAAATCTTTATATATTATTTTGTAACAACTTGCTTGCGATATCACCTGTGGTAAGGATATGACAATTATAAGTTGTGATATTCAGGGTCTTTGTCAGTGTCAATGCCATAGTTGTATTCATATTGATAAAGGATTAATATGTCAACACTCTGATATTAATAAATGATATATGAAACAACTTATAAAATCAAATAATATCATGGTTTGATTTAGAAATTTGTCTTTAGTAAGGTTTGCATGTGTTTTTCCTATAGAAAGTCCGTTTAGGTCCTTTAAGGAATACAAGCTGTAAATACCCGATTAACACATGTTTGTTATAGAGATGAAAAGTCAAAATTTAAAAATAAATCAAGATTGCTATTATAATTATTGGGCTATGATCTTACATTTCTGTGTTTAGTCTTAGCTTAAATAATACTAAAAACATATAAAAATAAGTCGGTATAAATCGGGCTGAAACAATTCAATAGAGTTGAAGTTCATTCTTAATTTTATAAATCATACGTTCCGTGAAACAAGGCACGGGTAGAAAAATAAGAGAATTGAATGCCAGTGATATTTCATAAACACTGCAGTGCTTAGTTTATGATCGACTTATATTCAAAGTCGTGTGAACAGGTTAATCGTTAATTAGATTTGATTAGATTTTACAAAAGAAATGTAAAAATTGTTTCTCTATATATTCTGATGTCACATAGTTTTTAAGATTAAAATGTGTATATATTTGAATTATAATTTTTATTTTTTTTTATTATATTTTTGTTTTTCATTAATTTAATTTGGTTTTGGACTTTATTTAAGTCATATTATTTTTGCACTGATAAAGTCAGAGAACTCACCATCATAAATTTCTGATCCTCGAATTGATGTTCATTTGTTCGATGAAGAATATGCATTTTGCTTATTGATTTAATCCGTCTGATTTAATTACTTTATTGTATTTTATAATTTTTGTAAAGATTATTGTGTGTAAAGATAAAAATAATTTGAATTTATTCAACTTTAGTTTTATATTAATAATAAATAATTTATATAGTTAGTGAATCACATTTGGTCAAAACTCTTGTTTAATTTAGTGGAACAGGTACAATTACAAAAATTGTTGGTTAAGTTTGTTTGGCACTTGTGGAAGGCAACTATTGTTTTATTTTAAATATTAATAATTTTTTTTAAATAATAGTTAACATGCAACAAATGATTGCATATCGCTTGAATGTCTTTCACGTTAGAAAAAAGTCAGAACTCGTTTATCCTTAGACACTTGCCGTCGTTGTTTCGAAACTCTTTGAAAAGTTTGGCGCGTGCTGCGAAAATTACACAGAAATCCGTCATTTCTATTAAAGACGCGTTTTAATTCCAGTTTCAGTCTTGTGACTCGTTTTCGTCGCTGCTCGAGTCGCAGATGTGTTACTTCAATTACTTATTTCAATTACTAATTATAGTTCCTTATTGTTTATTTTCCTGCAGGAAAGGCTTTTCAAGTGTGGGCCAGCGTGTAAATAACCCCCAAAATATCGAAAAGAATTTCCTTAACAAATCTTAAATCCAAATTAACGACCGGCAAACGCGAATTGCCCTTGCGCAGCCACAGACGGTAGTTTTCGACTGAAACTGAATTTTCTGGTTGGCCATAAAAACCTCCAGGGTATGTAAGCAACTGTTTGGCTAGCTGCTTGTTGATTTTGTTTGAGACGTCTGCCATGAGCTGGCAGTGTCTATTCGCTGCTGCTAAGCGGTGAGCACGCTCTTTGCCGTTTCTCTTCAACATGTCGGAGATTAAGAGAAAAATGCTCACATTTGTTTGAAGCGATATTAATTAATTATTCCATTGGCGGGAAGCTACCAAGCTTCATCAATTATTATCGAATTATTTACTGGGATTCTCATTGGATCCAATATTATTATACAGAAAATTGATATATTAAAAAGACTCTAGAAATAGTTCTTTTTTAAATTAAAAAAAAAAACATTATATAAAATAATATAAAAAATATTATTTAAGTTTTAAGAAAGTTTCGTACTTCAACTTTAATATCTTTTAATAACTTTTAATAATATAATGTAATGATATAGTGTAGTGTAATGTAATGACGTTATTATAAATATAATTCGAACTCAATAAGTAGCTCTACTATGTTAAGTTGTAAAAAATTAACCATGGCGTTTTTCACCTTTCTAAAGGAAAGCTTTATGTTAGCAGCAATTTTAAGTACCACTACAAAGCCGGAATATAATAAAAAAAATTTATTTTTTACATATTTTTTTTTAATATTAAAAAAAGAGTTTTAATTTTATTTGAAATTTGGAATGTACAACAATAAAAATATGCATATAATATGGAAAATATTTTGCTCATTAAATTTGTTCAATATAAGAGAAAACTTACAGAAGAGTTCTTTTTTAAGAGAGTTCCAGTGTAAAACAAAATATTTAATCTATTGTTTTTGTTTTATATTCAAGTAGCTTCAAGCATGTTTTATATCTTTCTGTTCCTTTTTTTAGTAGCCAAGAGAGGGAGAGCTAATAAGTTATTTATTTGATACTGTAGTTTTCTCTCGCAGCCATTTATATTTAGCGAAGCCACGCCTCACATGCTGCTTAAAACAATAGGCGGGCAAAAATACATACCCGTTTACACGCTGAGTGACTTATGCTCAAATGTACACAATTCAGAAAAGAATGCATGCAGTACATACAAACGCAGAGTAGAGCGCGTTGTGCAAACAGATGCGATGAACAGCCCGCATGCCTGAAGGATATGCACGGCTCGAGCTACTGGCCAGGATTCAGGCATTGATTGGTATGTGTGCTTCTGCTTAAGGGAACATAGTTGCCTATAGAAACACGTAATTTATGCTGCAGCAGCTTCGCTCAACTGCCGAAGTTTGTTTGCTGTTTGTCTTTCATGGTTGTTTGTGTCGTCTGTTTAAGGGTGCCATCCCCAGAAATACGGATATAAGGGATGCTTTTTAATTAATATTGATTATTTAGAATATATGAATGAAAATATACTTATGTGTATGTGGATATGTGCACAAATTTATTTTTCGACAAAATTTTGTAATTTTTTTTTCATGTGTAATAATAATATATTTCAAAAAAAAAAAAACCACGACGAGTTTCCGTGAAATAAACAATTATTAATTTTTTATGAAATATACATATATACGCATATACATAATTTTGTCTTTAATGTAGTTCTGTATACCGTTAAGGTTTTTTAAATAAAAATAATATAAATTACATTGGTTATATATAAGACATACACTCGTATTTTTAATAAATTTCAAATATTTTAATGTTAATGTTTTCATGCCGAAAGTGACGTGTCTTTATGATGAAAAAAAAACTATTTTAAAAGTTTGACTTCGAATAGCAAAGCAAAGATAAGAACAAAAATTTAGTTAATTTATTAAAATTTGGCTGACCATGTAACGCTGTTTCGAGTATTCATCATCAGTGGTCTTAGGAAACATTCGAAGTTCTTTTATAGTCCGTATATAATTTGTTTTGACTAAATATTTTAATCGAAGATTAAATGACTCTAACACCAGTGCTACGTAAGTATTGTTGATATTTGTAATATAATTATATACTTTTAAACCATTTAATTTAAAACTCTTATAAAATTTATATACAAATCAATTAAACTTACAAGAATGTAAGTGGAATTTAAAGTAATGAGAATTGATCAAAATTATTTAACATTTAGGCAGATGGTTCCGTCTAAAGTGTCAGTTGATATATCGGTGTATGCTTCTACGCCCACAAATTGCTTTTCTCTCATTGCGAAACGGATTTTTCCAAAAATATAAAAACCTCATAAGTTTAAACTGGAAGAATACGCGGGGTGGTTAGAGGTTAATATTAGATTTTTAGCAAAATAGGTGGTCAAAAGCTCATCTTTGATTATAGGAGCTCCACGTTGAATTATACTATGTTCAGATGGAGTAAATATTTTTGTTAGGGTTTCAATTATTTTAATATATTTTATAATGTTTTGCCGATTTCATTAATAAATTTTTAAAAGTATATCACATTTCATTTTCCCATCTAAATTCTAAAAAGAGAATTGCTTTTTTCATAATTACTTTTGAAATTACTTAAATTTATAAATATACTTTCTCATTTAAGATTAACTTTTGCTTAGAGGAGAAGTCTTAACTTAAAGTGTATGAATTTTAAATAAAGTTTTTTCGTTAACTAATCTGTGTATGAACAATACTTAATGATTATATTGGAATATAGTTAAAGTTGATTTAATTGAAAGACTTGTAATTATCTAAAACAGATAGCCTATTTTTGAAGATAGAAAATATATTGTCAAAATATTAAGTTTAGATCCTTATGTTGGGCTGATTTACTATACTTCTGACTAGATTGCGTTAAGATTATTTTAAAAATAATGCCTGCAATTGTTAAAAGCGAAGCTGCAGCAATTAAATAATCTTAGTAAATGTCGCCCACTGCTGAGGACGTGCGACAAGAAAACTTCTTCTTGGTTTTGTCTCTAACCAAGAAGTTGAGTGTCGAAAGTGTAGCGCCCAAACACTCTGTCAGCTGAACCTATTAAAATTGCTAGTGCCTTTGAGATCAATAATCTTTGGACGCCCAGGGAAATTTGACGAATGATTTGACGACTTCTGTAAAAACATAAAATTTTGCTTAATATTAAATGCCAATAAAAACAAATATAATATTAAAGTATCATAATAAATTGTTTTATCTTTTTCAATACTGAATTCGCATAGTTTATTGTTCAGCTTTTGGCATTTAAATTGCGGACAAATGAGTTTTTCATGCAAATTTGACAAAGTTTTTACTTTAATTAAAGTTTATTTTTTAAATATTGTGTTTATATGTGGTTAATTATACATATATGGCTTCTTTGACTATTTTTTTTTTGATCATTTGATATCTTTAGTGAAGTCATAATTTAATATTTTATTTTTATATTATCTTATGTCGCTCCTGTTTTATGTATTGCCACGCCTTCATTTTACATCTTACACGTCTTACCGTATCTTTTTCAAAAAATCTTGTTGAACTTTATTAAGTTTATTTTATTAATTCAGTATTACGAACTAAATTATACTATAAGGAATTTGAATTTAACATACGAGTGTTTTTCGTAGATCGAATTTATTTTTTAAGAATATAAGAAATGGAAGTTTCGTTAAGTGAAGAATTGAGACATTAATACCCTGTGAAGGTTTAACGAAAAAATAAATAGACAATATTGACATAGACTTCCTTAACAGATCTTTTATGTCGAACACAAGAACCTTTCCAAACTAAAGATATGTTGGCGTTGACCAACAGCGTGGTCAACAGCTATTGCCTCAGAAGCTTCCTCCTGGTTCTCAGCACAGTTGATAACTTACGTAGACATCTCATTATGGCTTTAAAAGAGACATTGTTTTCTGAATTTTTTTTTGTATTTTGTTAACCGAGTAGTATGGAAAGGAAATGGTTTTCAAATCGCAAAGGTTTAAAAAATAAATTTATTTTACGAATTGAAAATATTTTCCGAATGGTTTTCTATACATATTCTTTTTGAAACTCTTTTCAAATACTTAAGTGCTTATTCCGTAAGCTGGCATTTATTTAATAGTTCAACTAAAGTGGGTTACTTCATAATTGATATTAATCTAATTTGGAAGCGAAATGCATTCATTCATTTTTATATTATTTTAATTAATCGAATTTTTGGCTGATCATATAGATGTGGCGAGTATTTTCAAATACCCATCATCAGTGGTCTTGGAAATAATTCTTGTATTTAATGATTGGTAAATAATTTTTTGAGACTGCAAGTACCAGGAATCGTACTCGTGTCCTGCCAAATTATATTATATTAAATTATATTAAAAAAAGAGATAATATATTTTTAATTCAACAATTATCTTAACCTGTAACTTTAATTGTAAGTCTTTGGA